TACTTTTTCTTTCAAGTTTATCTCCAGCATAATCAGCATCATAATAACCTACTAACTTGTAATCTTCTGATTTCTTATAAAATAAGTCAAGGTTAGCAGTACCTTTGAGATATCTAAATATCCTTTTAACAACTTGTAAAGATGTTTTAGAATTCTTTGAAACACACCCTGAATCCATATGAGCTTCTGAAAGAATTTCCTTCTCAAGTTTTTCACTTTTTATTTTAAGAGCAGAGTTTTCTTTTTCTAAACTATCAATTCTTTCTTTTAAAATAGAAGTTTCTTTTATCAGCTCACTATGGGATCCAAAATCAGTTACCTGAATCAGTTTCAAATTCTTGTATTTTTTCTGGAGTTTCTGACATGTTTCAAGAATTTTAACTAAAGGTAATTTAAGTTCATAACGATTTAGATGAGGAAATACTTCTTCAGAATCTGAATTCGATTATGATTTTGATCCAGAGGCTTCAGTGCTAGCCATAAGTTTCAGGTTAGCTTGCTCTTCTTCAGAGTCATCCTCGGAAGAGTTAGAGTCATCCCATATTGCCATTAACTCTTTTCTTCTTCTTCTCTAAATAATTTATTCTTAGGCTTGTCTTTTTTGAGTTTAGGACACTTATTTTTGTAGTTACATGGATCTTTTCACTCAAAATAGGAAACCTCTTTGTCAGCTTCAGACTTTCTCTATCCAGAGGTTGACTTAGAGTGCCCCCTTGTTCTTCTATAGCCTCTAGACTTATTATGTCTTTGTTTCCCTAGTTGGTTGACCCTTTTGGATAGTAGATACATCTCGTCCTCTTCATGAGAACCTTATTCAGGCTCTTCTTCAGCTTGAAAAGCTTTAGTCTTTTCAAACTTGTCTTTAGATTTCAGAGCCACAAAATTCCCTTTCCCCTGGGGCTCATCCTCCTCTAGCTCAGTCTCATGACTCCTTAAAGAGCTTATAAGCTCTTCCATAGTTTTGTTGTTCAGATCCTTTGACACATTGACTGTTGTTACCATTGTCCTCCATTTCTTTGGCAGGATTCTAATGATTTTATTTACATGATCTGCAGCGGTGTAGCCCTTATTCAAAAATTTTAATCCAGTCACAAGAGTTTGAAACCTTTAGAACTTATCCCCAATGGTTTCATATTCTTCCATTGTGAAAGCTTAATATATTTTTTATTAAAGCCAAGGCCTTAGTTTCCTTATCCTACTCATTTCCTTCATGAATCATTTTTAAAGAATCAAATATAGACTTAGCTCAGTCTCTATTTGTATTCTTTTCATACTCAGTATAGGAAATAACATTCAGCAAGATTGTTCTTGATCTGTGATGGTTTTGTTGTCCTTCTTTTGCTATTCATCCATCTTGATTCTTTCAAGCTTTACACCATTTGAACTTATTGGATGTGTGTAACCATCCATTACCATATCCCATATATCTACATCATATCAAAGGAAGAAAATTTTGATTCTATCTTTCCAATAATGATATTTATCATTGTTTCTTATGGATGTCATGTTGTGTTTTTGAAAGCGGATCTTTATCTGACACGGTTAAGTGTTTGACACAAAAGATTCAATATCAGAACCGGAGCTCTGATGCCAATTGAAGGTACAAGAAACATAAGAAATGAGAGGTTTGAATTGGGTTTCAAATATGACAACTTTTTACCAAACCAATGACACGAAAAACAAAGATGAAAATACACAATGACTTTTATATTGGTTCACCGTTAACTATGTTGTTCTTTTTTTTCCGATGTTGTATATTACTTCACTATTGTTGTGCCTTTCGTTATGTATTTCATTGTCTTTTAAAATTTCTTTGTCCTTTTTAAATATATGATGAATAATTTCGTTGGAGGATAGAATTGGAAACTTCTTCAATTCCACCTTTGTAATAGTGGTACGAGGTTGACTCATGAAATATGGAGTACCGTTGGTAGTACATTCCTTAATAATTCCAGCATATTTGTCCTTTAAGGAAACATTTGATTTTGCCACTTGAATGTGCGATTATCAAGAATATTCTTTCAATCATTATTCTCTAAATCATTGGCTTCGTATAAGAGATGATTTGAAGCTTGATCTAAGTTCAGAGCCTTAAAGATGGACTTCAAAGTTTAGTGAAAATGAGGCCTGAATTTATCAGAGTGATTCAGGATTGTTTGCTTCAAAAGTGTTGACTAGGATATCTAGAGTTAACTTCCAGTTTATTGCTTCTTTGTATTCTAACTTTGGTTCAGAATCTGATGAAGTCTAGAGTCCAGAGTCTGATGAAGTCCAGAGTCCAGCGTCTCTCTATCCAGAGTTTAGAGTCTTGCTTTGTCCAGCTTCAGGCTTGTTCAGAGTTTGCTTTATTCAGCATCTGGCTTGTTCAAAGTCTGCTTTATCCAACATCTAGCTTGTTTAGAATCTACTTTATCCAGCATTTGACCTGCTCAGATTCTGCACACTTAACAATATTATTAGAGTATAAAATTGTTTACACTTTGTTATCATCAAAACTCAAGAATTATAGATGTAGAACCAAAGTTGTTCCAACAAAAAGGGGTTAAGATTTTCTATCTTCGAGCTATCTAAAATATGTATCAAGGGATATCGACTAGTGTGCATACACAAGGTGGAGAGACAAATGATTTCTCTATTGCAATAGGATTGCACCAAGTTTCAATCATATGCACTTACCTTTTTTACTTTAATTTTGGATATACTCATAAAACACATCCAAGAGATAGCACCAAAATGTATGTTGTTTGTAGATGACATAGTCTTACTTAAAGAATCAGAGGAGGAATTAAATAAGAGGATGGAGACGTGGAGACAAACCTTAGTAATGCATGATTTTTGCCTTAGTAGAAGTAAGACGAAGTATGTGGAATGTAAGTTTAACAAAATGATAAGTGTTTCTAACCTAAAGGTGAAAGTTGGAGACCATACCATCTCATAAGTTATATGGTTTAAATATCTTTGCTCTTTTTTAAAAAAATGTGGAGAAATAAAAAAGGGGGAAAACCATTAAGTTCAAGCTAGTTGAGTGAAATAGGGGAGGACCTTAGGAATTTTATGTGACACGAAAGTGCCGCTCAATTTGAAGGAAAAGTTTCATCAGACAAGTTAATACCCACAATGTTTTACGAGATGGAATATTGACTGGTTAAGAATCAACACATGAGTAAAGTAAGCATGGTATAGATGTGTAGTAAGATAAGATGAAATATGATTAGAAATGACAGTATTAGATAGAGTGTTGGGGTATAATCTATAATAGAAAAGATGGTGAAAATGAACTTACAAACTATTAAAAAAGATCTCAAAATTAACAAATTGAATAGAAACATAGTCTTAAATAAAACATTATGGTAAATTTTGTTGTGTACAAGTGTGAGTTGGAAATCCTGCATTTCTTAAAAAAAGTGGAGGTCGAACACTTTATAAGTGAGAAGACCCACACACCTATCACATTAAGGTTTTTGGTGAATATGGGGTGTCTCTCTAACTTGTGTGTTTCTCTTGATCCAATGTGGATGCTCTTCATGATGACCCAACAGTGTATTAAAGTCGTGGTTCGGCTTGGTGGGGGAGCGGGAGCTAAAGGTGTTTGATTCTGTTATAGCATATGGGAGACTCAATGGGAGGAGAATGTTGGGTCTAACTTGCGTGTTTCTCTTGACCCAATGTGTATGCTCTTCATGATGATCCAACAGTGGTATCAAAGTCGTGGTTCGGCTTGGTAGGGGAGCGGAAGCTGAAGGTGTTTGGTCCTGTTATAGAATATAGGAGACTCGATGGGAGGAGAATGTTAGGTGTAAGTGTGAGTGGTTAAAGTCTCACATCATCTATGAATGGGTGGAATGTTAGATTTATAATAGAGAAGACTCATTTACCTAAGACTCGTTTACCTAACACTAAGATTTTGGATTGAGATATGGCGTCTCCCTGTCTTGTGGTCTTGGATCATTAGTCTCATTAGTACTCTCGACTCTCCCAGACTTTCCAACTGTGGTATCAAAGTCGATGGTTCAATTAAGGGACCGACTCCTTGTATTGAAAATCTTTCTGACAATGTGGTCGTTAGGAGGCGTGTTCTGTTGTAGTGTCCGCAACAACGGTACAAGTGTATGTGGATGAAAAAACTTTCACTTGAGGAGGAGTATAATGGATAAACTCACACTTGAGTGAGAGATTGTCATGTACAAGTGTGAGTTGGAAGTCCCACATTGCTTAGAAAAGTGGAGGTTAAACACTTTATAAAAGAGATAACTCATACATCGATTAAACTCTCGCATCGCCTATAAATAAGTGAAATGTTGAATTTATAAGAGATAATACTCATTTACTTAAAACCTTAAAGTTTTGAGTAAATATGTGATATCTTCCTATCTTGTGGTTCTAGAGCATGATTTTCGATTCCACTCCTGAATTGCTTGGTTGTTTATACAATTAAGTTAGTTGACCAAAGTGTTCTTTACTCATGATTCTTTAGTTGTTCTCACTGGCTCTGAAATCCTTTGGTTGTTGTCATGTCATATATTGGTGGTTGTAATACTTGCATTGCATACTACTTTTAACCTTATACGTTACTTGATGATAAAAGTAACCTAATATTACAAAGCAAAAATGTTACACGCTATTGCTCCTCTCCTTCAAATTCGTAGACAAAAGCTAAACGCCAAAATTAAAAGTAAAAGTGCTCTTGAAGAGTAAGATTATATAATAATAATAATAATAATAATAATAATAATAAGAGAAACCTTTGACCCAGATTTCCATTAGAGAAAGTTCTTCACCGCATCTAATTAAACATGAAGTTGATTAAAGACAAATTAATTTCATATCACCCTACAAAATTACACATTTTAAATTTAACAACTAGTACCATAGGTTCCAAAATATAATTAAATTCTATGACATAATTGAAACTACAAATCCACAAAATCTGGTGGAGAACAAACAAATAAAAAACAACCAAATTTTCCATTTTCTGTTTTTCTGCACATTCCAATCCAACTTCAAAGCATGCAATCAGTTCTTGCAGGCAACCTTCTGAAGAAATTGAGTGGCACTGATGGAAGCTTGTGCCTAAACCTTGGATGTCTCAACACATAAATTCCACTGAGAAGAGCCACAACTTGAAATGGAGTTACATAAAGAACAATAGCAGTAATCAAACAGAATAGTACAAACAGTGCAGTAGCTCTTGGATCTCTCCAGCTAAGCAAAGACTGAAGTCTTTCACCTTGAGTCGCCAAATCACCGACAACAGTCTGTATTCTACCCGCGATACTTCTAAGACGGTCGTATCGCATCCTCACGATGTCGGAAGGTCTTGTGGTCGGGAATGTGTCGAACTCTTCGTCTAGCTCGTCAGGGTGTGCAGAATCTGCGTGCGAGAGACGTGTGTCCATGTGAGGAGGGTGCCTTGGTCTCCATCTATAGTACCAAACTCCAATCAAAAAGAGGTAAAGGAAAATCGTTGGTAAGATAAGTTCAGGGTACATGACAAGTATTATAAACAAGATGTGAATCAGAACTGTTGTGATTGGGTTTTTCCAGTTGCAGATTTGGTCAAACCATTTTCCAACAGCAATTAACCCACTTAAAACTCCCATGATTCGGAAAAAGTTAGCTTTGCTTCGTCGCATACTCCACATGTGGGAACCTACATCCAGCATATATTCCACTACCTCCTTTCTCAAGGGCGGCTCTGCGCGACTAAGTCTCATGGAAACAATCTGAGTGGCTTGATGCCTTAGACTATCGAGTTGGCTTACAGTTAATGGATGAATGTAATGCATCTTAGGCAACAAAGGATTCGAATACATATGCATCATGTTAAGCAAAGATGAGCAAGTGAACCTTACAGCCAATTGAATTTCCCCCATTTTCTTCACCCCAGTTGGATGAAGAACTAGAAGAGGATAGGAATGTGTGTAAACTCGGTCAGTCTCAAGTGTGGAAAGACGGATTCTTACCTTCCCGATTTTTGAATCTCTCTGTCCTCCAGGTTTATCACCACCACCATGCAAATGACAGTTATCAAATACACCTATTGTAATGACAGTGCATGGATCGAAAACCTCCCAAGTATACTGCTCGTTCCACCTTGGTGCAAAGCTGTCGATGATGGTTCTCGTCCGCACCCACTTCTGTCCATACTTGGCTACACAATAAGCATCTGTTGTCCCCCTACCATTACTTGATTTCATCGGCATCAAACCTGAAGCATTCAATATCCCGACTTCAAGAACTCCAATATTGGACTTCCACAGCTGTTTCGCAGTTGGCCGAAGATCACTACTGTAGTGAGTAGATTCATCCAGAACATGATAACCACCTTCTAAACAGACCCTCATATGAATCCTGCTCGAAAACTTGATTTCCTTTTTCTTATCCCCTTCCATAATAACAACATGCTTTTCAATATTGAACCATCTTGTGTTCACAGGTTTGTGATCGAGTCTCCGGTCCATCATCTGTAAAGGAATAACACACTTCCCTAACAGTTCCTCTTTGTTTGGCGCAACCCTATCTTCCACACTCAAAATCAGAGGCTCCTCAAATGGTTCGGCAGCCACAAACATCAAATCCTCGTTCCACATTGGATTGATACTCCTGCTCTGAGATATTCTAGTCCTCAAGGTCTGATTTCCCAAAATAGCCTTCACGTAAACCTCCGGAAACCTTCCCTTGTCTGACGGCTGCAAATCCTGTGCCTCTATCACATTTACCCTCAAATACCAAAGCTTAGGAGATAGATAAACCTTTGACCTAATGTTTGCAAGAGCATCCGTCCCACTAACAGTTGCTGCATCCGAATGCCACGCCTCAGGAAAAGCTTCATCAGCCTGTGTACCCATCCAAACAGCCAGCATCAGTTCCCCTTTCGCCTTATCCCCCTTCCTATCCTCCAACCTATACCACTGCGGCGCGAGAGGACTATCCGGCGGAACCCTCTTCGGAACCTCATTAAGGTCAAACCAAACCCGCCCAATAAAATCATCCTTCACAACATCCTTATCTTTCACGGTAACCTCAAGAACAGAAGCCTGAATCCGGTCTTTTGAAAACGCAAAAACCTGACTCCACTCAGGATTAGTCTTTTTCTCAAAATGCCTAGTAGTCCCTTTATAGTTACCAAGCTTAACTTCAACATAAGGGTCACAACTTCCAGTAACATCCTTAGAAGGCAACTCCTTAGCCTTCACAACCCTCACATAAAGATACTGCATTTGCTCAACAAGGTCATAGGTACTAGTAAGCTTGTCTCCAGAAACCTTACCACCACCGAGATGGGGTTTGGTCTCTTTCAACAGAAAATCTTCCGGTGGAGGCCTCTGCATCTTCTCAGCTCAAAGATTCAAAGTTCAGAAGAATTTCAAGTATAGAATCTTAGTTCACAAGTGTTTCTGAATTAAAAAATGAACCGTTCCAAGGAGCCTAAATAAGAGGAAAATACAGTCAAATAGCCGTTACATATAGCAAATCGAGTCACCTAAATTCTCGGGAAATAAATTAAGGAAACTCAAAAGCTGCAATTAATGCATATATAATGGATGTACACATAGATCTCTCACAATATCGAGAATATGAAAATTCAAAATTACTACTACCTTATAATTAATAAATTAATTAATCCAATATACTACCTTTCTAGATCCGAGTATCACTCTATAAGACCAGAAAATCAAAAAATATATAAAATATAAATATAATATAAAAGAGACCGAACAATAATCCGAACCTAGAAAAGAATGTTTGAGAGCGGTTGCCGACACCGACAACAGAATGCAGCATAAATTTTCATCAAAGACGAAATCATTAGAGATGAAAAGTGAGAAGAAGAAAGTAAAAGAAAAAGTAGAATGTAAAGAAGTACCTTTGATGGAGACAATGAGTTTGTTTTGAAGAAGAAAAAGAAGTAGCAATGGAGATGGAGATTGTGGGAGGGTGTAGAAGGAAGAGTGTGGTTTTGCTTTTGTTAGGATCTGATGAATCTATGAAAAATATACAAAGAAGCTCCCTACTTTGCCTTTTTGCATAGTGGTGGACTGGACCTCTGTTGCTGTACAGGGTGGTGGAGGAATGGACGTGGACCCACTTCACGCGTGTGAAACATTTCGGTCGGTATTCACACGTGTGAGTTTCTGCCTTTATAATATCCTTGCCTCAATGGTTTGTGTTACATGATTTCTTAAAGGTAAATAAATACATTTAAGAGTTTATCTTTAACTTCTGTAAATAAATAAATATGTTTTCTTTTTAATTTGTAGAAAAGTTTGTTGAAGCAAAGAGTAAAGTGATAAAGATGGAATGACAAATGCAGTTGATATCTGACGTTGGATTATGAGATGAGTGGTTTGAGAAAGGACAGAGATGGAATTTCAGCCTCACACTTTTTTGGACTATTATTTATTGATCGGTTGGCAAATTTGGAATGACTCTTATCTTTTATATTGACTAAATAAAGCTAACATGGCAAGTTGTGACCCACTAATCATACTTCTTTTGATTTAATAATTATAGAAATGATAGCAATTAAATGGAAATAAGATGGGTAAGTTTGTTCACCAATTATAAATGCATTATTTCTAGATTTGTTATTGGTTTAATTGTTTTTAAAAAATGGTGTTGGGGAGAAGGTGTAACAATTTCAGCAAATTAGTCAAATTGAAATCAACTTTTTATAAACAAAAATAGGTATTGAGTAGTTAGTGTAACTTAAAAAAAATGAGATTTTTATGGTTTGGTTAAAAAACTGAACTTAACCAATGAAAATCGAGGCGCATTGGTTTGGTTTTTACTTTTAATTTTTAAAAATTATCAAATCGATTAATTGAACTGAACCGATAATTATAATTATTTAATTGAAGAAGGTTTTGAGAAAGTCTAAGGCGATATTTACGAAAACAAATAAATTGGTGAAGTGTAGCAAATTAAAGAATATATGAAAATTTTTAAAAAATTATTGTTTAATTTATTAAGGATATTGTCAAATTAATCTTTTGTGGTTTGTGTGTATGTTTTAATTTTTAAAAAAATGATAGAATGCATATGTTTTGTTCCGGCCAAAAGTCTAAATGATCAAGACTCAATCCATCTTAAATTCAATCCATTTGATCTAAGGTATAAAATCAATTCACACACTAAGAGTAAGGTATAATCTATAATCTCCACCTTTCACTACACTCATCTTGAATCTTGAACTGACTTGGATGTTGGAGTGCTAATCATGCAAGTCCATCACGCACCACCATAAAATAGATCGGAGTCATCGTTCAAGATCATCAATTTTCCAACTACATCCATTTTTGGTTCTAGAACAGAACATTTGCGACGTGTGTTGGAATTGACTCCTGATTTCTACGATTCCAGATCTAATCTCAATTTACCAGTTCATAATCTCCTTAGGTCACCGAATCAAGAACAAACTGACTTCCGATTTTCGCAATTTTCGCGAATTCACAATTGCTTACCAACTTCACCATTTGCAACTTCCTCAGATTTCACAATCAAGAAACGCTTGGAAGCGAACACGAAGATATGTCACAATCGATTTGATCAATCATCGTTTCCGCTCCAATTCCTTAGAATTCATATATCTTATTCCATCGAGAATTCCACAAAATAGAAAAACAAAGAATCTCATATTTAAATCTAGGGTTACATCGAGGTCTAAAGGTGATTTTCATTAAGTCATGCCGAAGATTCACAATCTATCCTCCAATCTAACATTGGTCGTACTTCCCACCACTATCAGACTACTTATTGTGGCAACATCAGAAGATACCATAAGTCCATAGTTAATAATGCCTAGATACCATAAGTTCATAGTTAACGTCGGGGCGCCAATCCAGTATCGGGGTCACTTTCATAGGCACCACATGATTTCCACTTAATGCACCAGGGTCTCCTCAGGTCGGGTCAAAGAGCAGAGATTCGCCAAGCATGCCCGAAGAAAGGTACCATGGACTCTAGTTGCAAGGAGACTAGACGACATCAGCTTCCGACCACCACTCAGCATTCCCATTCCAAAGGAAAGATTGAACGGGAAGAGAAACTCTTACTCCTTATACACAATTCAGAGAGGTGGGCCTATCAAGGAATGCCGCTAATGCCTGACCATCACATCGGGTCTGGGAGAAGCCAATCAGCAAATCGTATCAGCCACAGGCAAACCCCTTATTTCTTATGGATTACTTGAGATTGATACCTACTCCGAAGTAAGAAGAAAGTTGGGGAGTCTCAGCCCTCATTGATTAAAAAGTGATTCGCCGAAGCATTGGACAGAGCAATTCGACAAGCCTAAAAGTTTTAACGGTCGCTCTTAAGCTACATTTCTAGAAGAGTCGACCATCCAGCTTTATATCATCAAGAAAATACAAAGCGAGGTATCTCGACGTCCTGTCCAATCAAAGAAGACGCTTCGAAGCACAAAGTGCACTCAACTCGGTGCCTCGGGGAATGATAACGACCAAAGACCTCAGACATTGTCCGTCCACGCCAAATTCGTCGTTGAAAGTTTATCTACTTAGTCATTTCATTGTTTATTTGTAACTAATTCAATTCATTATTAATATATATATATATATATATATATATATATATATCATTCTTCCTTTGGTGTATGTTTATTTATCTTTCTTTCTCTTAGAATGCTCAAGATATATGCAACAAAGATGAAATTCAAAATTGTGTATCAGATACAGACTTAACGCACTTAAACAATCCTGATACGTCTTAAAGGATATTTTTTCATGAATACTAATCTGATACAGGCTTAACGCACTTATGTGATTCTAATACAGCATAAATGCATTCTTGTGATTCTTATACGGCCCAAACGAACACATTGCACGACTTCTCATATGAGGCATATAAAATGCATATTTGTGTAGTTGATGCATCCCCCCTTCCACCTTCAGATCTAGTTAATCCAATGGCGTAGGTGGTGGAGAATAGAGATTTCCACCTCGATCTGAGCCAAGCCTCGAGGAAAGGGACATGGATTCTACCTTTGGAAGGGAATAAAATTGCAATCATGTTATCGTATGGTGTTTTTTTTATATTTTTGTCAATTTACATGTATGTTTAATTTTTATTATTTGCGTCTTTGTCATTTGTTCATTATTTAAATATTTGTGTGTTTGTAACTCATTCGCATTTGAATTATATTATGTTCTCTTCAGTTATTCTAGCATTGTATTATTAAGATCCCTCATTATTCAATAAATTAGATAGTTGGTTCACGATTGTTTTTCTTTGTTTTTTTAGCTTATCAAGTTGGTTTATGTTGTTTCATCAGGCATTACTTAACTCACAAGTTAGAAAACTTAAATTAAGGTGTTCATTTGTTTGATTTGGATCATGTGCATTGTAGGACTCAAATCACACAAGTTGTGGAAATTGGATTTTGCCTCAGTATGATTTGACTCGAGTCATAAGTTAAACTTGACTCAAATCACAAGGCAATGTAGCTCGAATCATGGTTTGCACTTGATTCGAATCATAACTTCAAAAATTCATTTTTCACCTTATGTTTAAATAGTTGTTTTTTTATCCAAACACATGTGTAATGAGACATGAGTCATGAAGAAGTAACTCCAACTGTGATTTTTTTATGATGAAAGTATTTGTGAAACTCTAAGACAAAAAATGCTAATTTATCTTTTCTTCTCTTATGTGTCTATTCTAGCATTGTTAAGTGCAAATTTTGACTTAAATTGAACCATCTTTCTTGGCATTTTTCAACTTATTTCTCATGTTTTAATGGATTTATTTCTTGTTCTTGTGTGATTCTTCAATTATATTACAAATACCTTTGGATGCTTTGATGGGTGTGTTATTGTGTAGGGTATAGGCATAAAACGTCAATGATTAAGACCCAAAGGATTGGACAAGGATGCCAAAGAAATGAAGAAGAATCAGCATGTTCATTGTGCGAACACCAGCGAGCAGCCAGTGAATGTTCATTGTGCATAGTTACAGCGAGGTCTCAGCAAAAAGGAAACCTTGGATAACAGTAGGAAAAGGACCCAAAGTTCGTTGGGCCAAGCCAAAGCAAAGAAGTTCATTGTGCGAAGAAGTGTTCGCACTACGAACTCAGATATTTTCCAATGGCGATTTAACTATTCCTGAGGCACTTGAAGTGCCTAAAAGTGGTCTTCACTGTGCAAAGAAGGTGTTCGCTAGGAAAACATAACAAATTTTGTAATAACTATTTAAGTATTTTTCTTGCTTTTTAGAAACATAACCTTATATTCTCATATCAGAACTTTATCTCTCTTCATTCCAACCATATTCTAGAGAGAGAATCATAAATCGAAGCAACTCGGAGCTTGAT